TGAAGTGTGGTAGTATTCGGCTGCCAACTGCATGGCAAAACACAATCAGCGACAGTGGTCCCTGCCGTGACACTGCCGAAACACGTGAAAAAACGAAAAAATCAAAACACGTGAAATCTGAAAATGAGCACAGATTCAAAGCGTAGGCTTCTCAACGCAAACGATGTTGCTCTGATGGCGTTTATCCACTGCCTCTTGCTATTCTGATCACCGCCCGAAACACCAAGATTCAAGACCTTCCTTGGCTATATCAACTTTCAACACACGTCAAAACGCTGGTCACGTTTCTTCAAGACGGACACTTGGGACTCGTTCGGTGGTCAGTCTTTGACTAGTCTGCCCTTCCAATGATCGACGTGAAGGTGGTGCAAGCTCAGAGGCCCAGGGCTGCTTAAATGTATGCATATAAACACAGGTGGATCCAGAGGGGGCACCGGGTCATGACCCCCCTTGGGTCCCGAAGGGGCCATTGGCTCAGAGGGGGCCCGTAGCCGGCCGAACAGGGGCAGTTTTTTAAAAACACAAAACGCAACAAAACTGGGTTTCTCTGGACTTCCAGGCAACCATGAACAGTTGTAAGCAAACGTGAAGGGCCTATGAAACGTCAGAAAAATTCTTAAATGATTGGAAAAGTTGTGAACTGGAAATTTCAAGCCCCATTACATTGTCTAGGGGCCCCATGCTGTGTCTGGGGGAACTATATGCCCACTTGCCGGATCATTTCGATCGCTAAGGAGTATTCCACGTTGCCTTCATTTCTTTGCATTTGTTCGGAAGGCCCTGCGCTGTTGTTGGGGCCCTTCCTGTTAGCGTGTCGGGGCACTCTTGTCAATCACGGATCCTTCCACGTGTTCTTTCCATTCGGCAGAAAGGCTCTGTGAGCTATAGCCGGGGTCCTATATCGTAGCCTGCCGGGGTATTCTCGGTTGCTCAGAGGGCCCTTACATGGGTCTCGGTTAACCTACCGACACACTTGCGATATGCTCATGGGCCCTCTACATTGGTCCAGGGCGTTTCCAACCCTCCCTCACTTGCTTAAGGCCCTGCACGTTTGTCGGGGGCTCATCTGATGGCCTGCTTGGGCACACTCAGTCGTTTGGGGACCTTTCACACTGGGTCTCGGGCGCTTCTTTACTGAATGAGGGGCCCTACGCTCTTATGGGGGCCTATCTGATATCCTGCTCGGGCACATTCGTTCGATCGGAGGCCCTCTACATTGGGCCTTGGACACATGCTATTTGAATGGGACCCTACACACTTGTCGGGGTCCCTCTATTTGCCTTCTCGGCCACACTGGATTGTCCGGGGGGGGGGGGGGGGCTGCACATTGGTTCCTGGTGTTTGCACTCACGGCCCTCTGCTCCTATCGGGTCATCTGATAACCTGTTCGGGTACACTCCATCTTTAGGGGGCCCTCCACACCAGGTTTTGGATACTTCTTATTTGAATGGAGGGCCTTGCACTCCTGGCGGGGCCCCTCCTGGCGGGGCCCCTCCTTGCACATTGGTATCCTGGTGTTTGCACTCACGGCCCTCTGCTCCTATCGGGGTCATCTGATAACCTGTTCGGGTACACTCCATCTTTAGGGGGCCCTCCACACCAGGTTTTGGATACTTCTTATTTGAATGGAGGGCCTTGCACTCCTGGCGGGGCCCCTCCTAATAAGATGTTGGGGCCCATTCGATTGTGGGGGACATATACATCTGGTTTTGGGTACTTCCTTTCTGAACTCCCTCCGCTTTTTTCAGAGCCCTATCTATTCACCTGCTCTGGCGCACTCGACTACTCGGGGCCCTCTACCTCGTGTCGTGGGTATGAACGGAAGGCCCTATACGCTTGCCGGGGCCCCATCCGTTAACCTGCTCGGGCACACTCGAATATCCGGGAACCCTCCACATTGTGTCTTAAGTGCTTCCTATCTGAATGCACGGCCCTACGCACTCGTCGAGGGCCCCTACTGTTCGCCGCTTCGGCCAAAGTGGGTTGTTCGGGGGCCCTATATATTGGGTCTTGGTATTTGAATTTAGGGCCCTACACTCCTGTCTGGGCCACCTGATGATCTGCTCGGGGATACTCCATCTTTCGGGTGCCCTCTGCACTGGGTTATGGGTACTTCTTCTTTCAATGGAAGGCTTTATGCTTTGTCGGCTCACTTCTGATACGCTACTCGGGCACATTCCATCATTCTGGGGTCATTTAGATGGGGTCTTCAGCACTTCCCATTCGAATGGAGGGCCCTGCGCTCTTGCTGGGAACCCTATTGGTTAACCTGCTCGGACTCACTCGATTATTCGAGGGCCCTTTACATTGGGTCTTGGGTACTTCCTATTTCAGTGGAGGGCCCCACGCTCTTGACGGGGGCCCTATATGTTAACCTGTTTCGGCGCACTCGATCGTTCAGAGTCCTACACATTGCGTCGGAGTAGTTCTTATTTGAATGGATGGGCCATGTTCTTGGCGGGCCCCATCTAATCAGCTGCTCGGGCCCATGGCGGATGCAGAGGGTAGGGAGGCACGGGACCATGCCCCATTGACCATGCCGAGGGGACCTGAAGGCTCCGAAGAAGCCCATAACCGGCCGGACGGGTGCAGTTTTCTTACAACAAAACACAACAAAATTGGATGCCTTTGGGCATGCAGACGACCAAAAACCCTTGTTAGCAAAAGTAAAGGGTTCAAAAGCAAACGAAGTCCAGACTTCGCTGATTGAGAACTTGTTGTTTGAGGGAGATTTTGGAGCTCATTACACTGTCTAGAGGTATTACGTTGTTGGTTGCCTGGCCCCATATGTCCACTTGCCTGGGCAGTCTGATCGCTAAGGGGCTTTCCACGTCGCCCTTGATCTCTTTGCATCTTGTCGTAGGGCCCAATGTGCTATTGGAACGTATCTGCCTATATGCCTGAGCACTGTTGATCGATCAGGTTTTCCTCCGCGGATTTTTCCCAGTCGCCCGAAAGGCTCTACACCCTTTCCGTGTGCCCCATATGCCAGGGTACACTAAGCTGCTAAGGGGCTCTTCATATAAGTCTCGAGTTTTTTCCACTTGCTCGAAGGGTTGGTGCTGTTGCTAGGGCTCTCATAAGGTAAGGCACGGAGATATACGATGATCAGGGGCTCTCTACTTAGATCGAAGGCCCTCTCCCTTTGGTCTCATTTGCGGAGGACTTTTCACTCCTATCGAGGCTCGTGTTATTAACCTGTCCGTGAATTCCTGATCGCACAGGGGTATTAATGTACAGTCTGGCACAATGTACTTTGCTCGGAGGGTCCTATGCTATGGCCGGGGTTTTATATGTCAGCCTGCCGGGGCACTGCCGGTTGTTTAGGGGCCCACCATGTTGGTCTTGGGTTCTTCTTGTTTGTCCTGAGGACCCTATACTTGTTGACAGGAGCCACTTTGCGGCCTCCTGCGACACCCATGATCGCTCAGGCTCCGTCCCTATTGGACTTGGTGCCTTCGCCTTAGAGCAGTAGTCCAATATGCGCCGATGAATTATTATGCGCGATTACCAAAAGCAATTTTACATGTCGCCAACGTCGTATGTGTCATTTCCATGGGCTGTTAAGCATGTGACACTTATTATACTAGTGCATCATGTTCTCAACATGTTTTGTTGACATGTTGTTGACATGTTGACATTTTGTCTCAACATGTTGTACTCATTTATTACAAAGGAAACATTCTGCACTAGTCACCAGCCATCAGCTGATTATATCGCCCAGCCCTCTGGCTGTAAATACATAAGCTAGGAATCAAGTTCATGTGTGGTTTTGATGGTTGTTAGCGGCCAACTCAAGTTTATTTTGCCTGTTTTTCCGATACACTTAACCTCAAAATCACAGTTTTTAAAATAGTCTGTAGAGAATGAATGAGCCCTATGTGTATGCATGCGTAGCACGCCTATGCTGTATAGGGCTGTGCACAGTAAGATGGGCTTCCTACCTATCATCTACCTACTATCCTACCTACCTATCTATCTATCTATCTATCTATCTATTTATCTATATCTTATATCTAGTATCTATATATATATATACTATAATTAAATTATATATATAAATATACATTGTGTGTGTATACATACTGGAGTTGGGGCTCCTCAAAAGTCATAATATATATAATATATATATATATATATATATAGATATATATATATTATAGTATAATATATATATATTCTTTTGAGGGGCCCCAAGCTCCAGTGGGCCCCACAATGTTGCGTGCCCCCCCCCTTGACGAAACCCTGGTTCCGCAAACCACCACACACACACACCACACATATATATATAATATATATATATATATATATATATATATATATATATATATATATATATATATATATATGTGTGTGTGTGTGTGTGTGTGTGTGTTGCGTGTGTGTGTATAGTTTTATCGTGTTAGCGCGCTGCAACATTTTTCAACAGACCCCGTACGCGTCAGGCCAGGGCCGTTTTACATAAAACTGTCGTTTTGCGTGGTGTGCAGGTCGGCCCTCGTTTTCTGTAATGGTATACCTATGGTTTCCTAATCTCGTAATATCTTAAAATCTCGCGATATTAAACATTATTCTGAACATCCCGCAAAAATGCAGCTTCATATGATTTTGCAGTGGAAAGCCTCTCCTGCGCAGAAAGTATTTCTTTGAACAATTATTTTATCATCGGGGACGCAAATTGAGGTGCAGGAACTCTAAGCCGAAACCGGGTTTTAGGGATAGGTTGAATCACACTTATCGGCTCAGCCCTCCTCCCCAAAGCAATCTTGGAAAGGGACCCCAGGCGTTAGTCAAAGTGTCAAATGCAAAAAAAGCACCAGCCACGGGTTGTCTTGGAGTTTACGACCAAAACACGGAAATATTGAAGAAGGAAAATATAAGGCGTCATCAAACGTCGGTGACGAAGGCATGATTTGATTGCCTTGTTCCTTGCTCGTGTTCCAGCAAGTTTTCACTTCCTTGATTCCCTGTTGCACCATCTTGTGACGGTTATGGCGCAACAGGACAACACGCAGGAAGGCTCCCCGACTACGCGTCATCCGGTTCACGCGCGGTGTTTTGTGGCGTGGTGGGGTGAAGAGTGGGGTTACGGTGAATTTGTGGTACCCATACTATTGCGAAGACAACGCAACTATGAAGCCGCTTATGCTCCACGGCCACGAGCGCTCTATCACGCAAGTGAAGTATAACCGCGATGGAGATCTCCTGTTTTCGTCGTCGAAGGATAGCACCCCAAACGTATGGTGGTCGATAAATGGAGAGCGCCTTGGTACGTTTGATGGACACAATGGAACAGTGTGGTGTATTGACGTCAACTGGGACACCACAAAATTTGTGTCAGGGGCCGCGGACAACACCATTCGTTTGTGGGACTGTGAAACAGGCAAACAGCTGGGTTCGGTAGAGTGCAAATCTGCTGTCCGAACAGCCGCATTCAGTTACAGTAGCAACATGATCTGTTACTCTACAGACAAAGCTATGAGAAATCCATGTGAGATCTTTGTGGCAGACAGCCGTACAGTGGATGGGTTCAATTCTGCAGAGCCAGTCATGAAGATCCCAGTGGCCGTGGGCCCTAAAGTCACGTCCATGCTCTGGGGACCTTTGGATGAATACATCATCACTGGGCATGACACAGGTGAAGTTGTGCAGTGGGAACTGAAGACTGGCATGAAAATGACTATGGCTCATGAGCATAGTGGTGCCATCAATGACATGCAGCTGAATCAGGATGGCACCATGTTCATCACTGCATCAAAGGACCACACAAGCAAACTCTTTGATATGGCCACGCTGGAACCCCTGAAGACCTTCAAGACAGAAAGACCTGTGAACAGTGCTGCCATCAGCCCCATCAGAGACCACATTGTCCTGGGAGGTGGTCAGGATGCTATGGATGTGACCACAACATCATCACGGCAGGGCAAGTTTGAAGCACGTTTCTACCACCTGATCTTCGAAGAGGAGTTTGGCCGTGTGAAGGGTCACTTTGGACCCATCAACTCCTTGGGATTCCATCCAGATGGCAAGAGCTTTGTTTCTGGTGGAGAGGATGGCTACATTCGGGTGCAGGAGTTTGACCCAACATACTTTGACTTTAGGTTTGATTACTAGTGCTTCACACTAGGTTTTTTATTAATGGTGTATAGAAGCAGCTTGTTTCTGATCCATGTTATGCCCACCAATTCCATGCCCCCTTTCAGCTGGTTTTCAACCTGTGCCATGGATCATTGCTACAATTAAACTTTTATGGTGATTGCTAGAACTACATATTTCAATCATTGAAATATTTCACTGTGCTCTTTTGGTTGGGGCCATGGCCATGGATCATTTTGCTGTCAAGTGCAAATACACCGATGTTAAAATGAAGTTGTGTTTCACTGACAACTTCAACTGACATTGTGAGAATACAGTGTTGGCCAGTGAAGCAACTGTAGACAGGTGATGCATGCTGTATTTGTATGCTCTGTCACATGTAGATAGCACAGCTAGACATGGTTCATAGTGACATTTTTCAGGTGTTTTCTGTCGCTGCGTTGTGATGGCCTGTACAGTTTGATGCCAATGGGCATGTTAGCATTGCACAGCTGGTGTTTCCATTCTTACCACATCTTTGTTCTATGATCACTTGTTTGTCAGTCAGTACATCTAAAGTACTGTCACGCAGGCAGTGAGCACATCAAGATTTGTCAGGCTTGGTGAGCAGATGGTCACAAAAGTGAACTGAAACAGGTTTTATATCTTATAGGTCATCCAGACTGAATGGTTTTATGAAAGGCAGGCTGTGGCATCAAACCTTGTGTGGACATTGTTAGTGCAGCAACAGGGTCATGTTTTTTCAACTGCTCCCATGCCAACATGCCAATATTTTGACGGGATTAGAGCCAGTTTCACCGGCACGCTCAAGTCAGGATTGAGTGAGAGAACAGCTGTACCTGTCTGATAAGTCTACGTACTGTTCTCCACCAGCCCTACCCTGTCAGCAGCTGCACTATGTCTGATGAGCCTGCATACTGTACTCCACCAGCCCCTGTCAGCAGCTGTACTTTGTCTGATAAGCCTACATTCTGTACTCCACCATCCCTGCCCTGTCAACAGCTGCACCTTGTGTGATAAGTATACATACTGCACTCTACCAGCCCTGCCCTGTCAACAATTGTACCTTGTCTGATAAGCCTGCGTGCTGTACTCCAAGGCCTTTAAGTCCCCTGATTAAAAGGAAACTACACCCCTGCCCGCCATAAGGTAAGGCATCTATTTTCATACCAAAAGGTCCCTTTTTCAATCGTCTACAGCTATGCAAAGATTGATGGGGCTACGCCGCGCCGTTTGGAATGAAATTATTCCGTAAAAATCTTAGAAGTCGTCAAGTTAACCCCCACTCGAGCACGTGTTAGTTCTCCAATTATACGCCGTGGCAGAATGTAGCGTATAACGCAGCTTGTTCTGGTCTAAATATCTTGATATGTCGCTGACTAATGCCAAACACTCAGGCACTAATCCAAAACTATACTAGGGTCAACAAGACACATACATTGTGCAATTAAGCCATGCAAAGATTAAATGTTACAGTAAACATGGTACAAACGCAGAGCCCCCAATGCTTGACACGGACCGTTTGCTGCGCTCAGTTGAAACTCACATCGCGGTTCTCTTTTTTTTTTGTTCCCTTTACCTGTAAGACAATTATTAGAAGCGTTTCAAATTTCTATAATTCTGAGCGTTCACTTGCCATGTTCAGCTTGTGCTTAGGCCCCAGGAAGGTTGGATGAGCCAGAAAGGGAGGGGGGGGGGCAAATTAAACTTGGGGGGCCATTGGCCCACCCGAGAGAATACAAATAAACATCGGTGCTTACAACCTTTTTGCGCAGAAGCTTCCGCGCATACAAGCATTTTTCTTACAAACGTTTCCTAACGAACATGTTCCATGCGGTCTTCATCCCTGCGTACTTTTGTCATCAATAACTTTTGCTGTCACAAACTTCGTATTGTTTTTTTATCCAAACGAACATTAGGCGTGCGACTTTATCCTGCGAATAACTGTCATATGCACTTTTTCTACGCGTACGTATGTCTGCAACGGTACACGCGGGGGCGGATCCAAAGCGGGCCACGGGGCCATGGCCCCCCGTGGAACCCAAAGGGACTTATAGCCGACAGCATAGGTGCGGTTTTTTAACACAAAACGGGACGAAATTGGACGTCTTTGGATTTTCAAGTGACGAGAACAGTCGCAAATGAATATAAAGGGCCCACGGGAGTACAAAAAGCATTCAATGATTGAAAAAGTTGGTATTGGAGAATTTTAAGCTTCATTACGCTCGCCAGGGGCTCTTTGCTATTTCCGGGGTACCTATATGCCTCCTTGCAGGGTCTTTTCGATCGTTAAGGAGCCTTCAACGTTGCCCTTGATGTCTTTGCATTTTCGCGGAAAGCCCTGCGCTGTTGCTGGGTTCTTGTTTAAAGCGTGCCGGAGCGCTCTTGTCAATCAGGAGCCTTTCACCCATTCTTTCCATTCGGCAGAATGAATCTGTACGCTATAGCCGAGGCCCATATGTTAACCTGCTGGGTATTTTGGGTTGGTCAGGTGCCCTTTGCGTTTGTCTCGGTTAACCTTCCGACACAATCGCACATACGCTCATAGGCGTTCCATATTGGTCTAAGGCGTTTGCAATTCACTGTCACTTGCTTTTGGCCCCACATTCTCGTCGGGGCCCCATCTGTCCGCCTCTTCGGCCACACTGGATTGCTCAGAAGCCCCGCACATTGGGCCTTGGTGTTTGAATTTAGGGCCCTAACTCTTATCGAGGCGATCTGATAACCTCCTCGGATACACTCCATCTCTAACCGGGTTTTGGGCACTTATTGTTGGAATGGGGGACCCCACGCTCCTTTTGGCCCCTTCTGATAAGCTGTTCGGGCACATTCGGTCGTTCGGGGCTACCTACATTGGGTCTTAGGTGCTTTCAAGTTGACTGGAGGGCCCTACGCTCTTGAGCCCTATCTGTCAACCTGCTCTGGCACACTCGATTAGTTGGGGACCCTCTATGTTGGGTCTTGGGTACGTCCCATTTGAAGGGAAAGTCCTACGCCCTTGACGTGGGCCCTATAGGTGAACTTGCTCGGGCACACTCGATCGTTCCGGGGGGCCCCCCACATTGTGTCGTGAGTATTTCTTACTGGAATAGAGGGTCCTACGCACTTGTTGGGGGCTCAATTCGTTAACCTGTTCGGGCACACACGATCATTCCGGGGCCCTCTTTGGTGTATCTTGGCTATTTTTTTATTTGAATGAACGGCCCTATGTTCTTGGCGGGTCCCATCTATCAATATGTTCCGGCCGGTGGCGGATACAGAAGGGAAGGGGGAGGGGAGGCACGGGACCATGCTTCATGGACCATGACGGGGGTACCCATAGGCTCCGAAGGGGCCCGTAACCGGCCAAACGGTCGCATTATTCTGACAAAAAAAGTAACAAAATTGGACGATGTGGGCTTACAGACGACCGAGAACGTTTGCAAGCGAAAATGATGAGTTCATAATCAAACGAGGCTAATTCTTCGCTGATTGAAAAGGCGTTGACTGGAGGAAATTTTAGGGCTCCTTACGCTGTCCAGAGGTCTTACACTGTTGCCCGCGCCCTATGTATCCATTGGCCGTGTTAATCTGATCGCCGCTAGAGCCCTTCGCGTTGCCCTTGCTTTGATTGCCGTTGCGTTGCTGTGACACTACCGATCGTTTCGGGGCTCACCACGCTAGCCTTGCTTCTTTCGCTTTCCTCTGAGGACCTCTTGCTTGTTAACGGAATCCCTTTGTGGCCCCTGTGGCGCCCATGATCGCTCAGTTCCGTCCCTATTGGTATTGGTGCCTTAGCCTTAGCCTTAGAGGAGCAGTCGGGTATGCGCCCATGCATTTTTGCGCGCAGTCGTCGAGCGCCATTTTACGTGCCGCTGACACCGTATGCGTCATTCCTTGACTTTTGAGCATGTGCCACTTAGTATATTTTATGCATCGTGTTCTTAATGTATTTTGAATTGATATTTACGCCTGTACAACCAGGGAAAAATTATTGTTGGTCATAAGCCATCAGCTGATTGCATAGCCTAGCCGGCTAAACGTAAATAAGGCAAAAGTTAAGACCATGCTTGGTTTTGATGGTGTTTAGCAGCCCAGTTGAGCTTATTTTGCCTGTTTTCCGACACTAAGCGTCAACCTCACGGGATTGAACATGATCTGGAGGAAATGAATGAGCTCCATGTATGCACACACGTGATAAGCCTACCGTTTAGGGCTGCGCACGATAAGATAGGTTTCGGTAAGTTCAAAACCCACACACACACACACACACACACATATATATATATATATATATATATATATATATATATATATATATATATATATATATATATATAATTTCATGCTGCTCATCTGAGAAGTTAATGGCCAAAGTGCGATAACATTTTATGAAGGGAATCAAACAATTTTGCGTGCCCCCCACCCCTTGACGAAATCCTGGATGCGCCCCCGGGCACGCCTACGCAACCCACTTGCGGCAATCCAAGCCAACGTTGCCTCGGCCCACAGCGCCAACAGGGCGCAGCACTGTAAACAAGGTGGCAGCACCGAGCGGCAGTATGCCCAGGCCGATGCTGACCAACAGGTCCGCACACAGGCCTAAAACTTGTCCCCCCCCCCCCCCCCGCCCGTATCCAAACCCGTAAAGCTGACATTCAATTATTGAACACCATGGACTGTGTATTCGGCAGCACATTGTTCACGACTGAGTCAAATCGAGTTACGGAAATTAAATGAACGTGTACTGCCATGCAGTTCTGCCCATTTCTGCGCACTATCATGTTAAATAACGTTGCATATGCTATATGCCAATCGCTTACGAACGTGACCTGGCACTAGTATTTGCGTTAGCAAAACAAAGCTCAAGATGTGAAATCAACCCAGACCACATGTCACCGGCGCTGTAATCGCACTTCCGCCAAATAGTGATGACAAATTTTGGTTTAGTTATGTTCAGTCAGCAGTGCGTATCAGCTTTGATGTTCTTTACCACTTTAATAATTTTGAGCTTGGAAAGTATCTCTATTTGGAAGAATTATGCAGAAATTTCATCATGATTCCAAACTTTACAACTAACAGTGATAACCTGTGTCAAAAATCTCGGAAAGAGCAAATTCTGCGGTCGTCCCTATTTACGCGTCCTTTCCGTTTGAGAGTTCGCGATGGTGGGTCATACCCATCTGCTCCTCGAGTTGTTGAGTGTGTTGCTGATGGTTTAATCTAATAATGCTGTTCCATTCTAATATTTTGTTGCGGAATGTACAGTGGTGAATTCAAGTCGTCTGGAGGCATGTGGTGTCTCAGTGAAATTCCGAAAATGGGATACTCCCTGGGTGCCCTTGCTTGCATGGCGAAGCATAGGTCCACATTCCTTCGTTTGTACGTGGGGCTGTGCCGGTGCACAACAAAGTCTGGATGTGAGGATGGCTACGTTGAGTGCGGTTTACCGTGATTGGGCAGTACAAGGTGTTGATAAGCTAGTGTTCATTCTGAGGATGCCAGACGAGGGCCCCAATAGCCTGCATTAGGTGCTGGGAAAATTGTGCCTTTTGTCTTAGTATACATGATCTTTAATGTCCTTTGATGTTTTGCTGTGCTTGATGATTATAAGGTGCTTTGCAAGCAGGTGATCAGTGAAGTAATGTTTCATTGCACTTGGTTTTGTGATTATTTACAATATGTCCTGCCTTAAACACGACGAATGGTGTACAGTTATTTTTTCTAATGTTAGGTAGGAAAGTACACCCAGGCTGAGCTTATTTTTGTGACTGCCCTTTAGGTTAAAGATAAATGTGAGCAAGTGTTTTGCCTTCAGGCAGGACTGCTAAATGTGCTTGGCTAATATTCTCCACTTATTAGTAGTAACAACAAATTTTGCACCTACATGCCAAATTTGAATGCTTTCAGTGAAGTGCATGGCCACAGCCAATTTCAGCCCATGGAGCCAATATTCCAGGGAAGTATGATTTGAAAATAATTTCAGGCGAAAAGGCATAACAATTTAATGGCTAATAATGCATTTTGCACATAAAGGTAAAAGTACTCAGTAATTTTAGCATGGGCTACTTTTTTGCTACTTTATTTGCATAGATGTGACCAGCCTGGTTTTCACATGACTTATAGCATATGAGCACAAGTCTGCAGAGGACATTGAGTATTGGTTTCTTGGGGCCTTTAAGTCCTAGTTGATTGATTGAACAACGATGGATTTATTTGGGGCTGCATTGATTTTGGGGTAAAAAGATTGGAGCAGGCTACAATTTTGACATTGATAGGTTTAGAAATAGTCAAGATTGAACCATGCATTATTTAAGTAGAATTTAAGCCATACCTCAATGAAGTTTTCATCAGCAAATCCATTCTAGTTTGCACTGATTCAGTGTGCTGTATTTTGTTAAAAATTTGCATGATGTTACATTCTTATTTTACTTGTGATATAGTAGTAAAGCAGCATTAAAATCCTATAGGATGTGTAATTGGTATGTTTACCTGTTCTTTTCATGTATACAGTTAATTGCACCAACAACTGCCAGACTCCTGGGACTTATTTGGATGGGACTTGCTAAGCTAGAGTGTAATGGCTTCATAAAGCATGGAGGTCCATGGTTTCTGCTCAGACTGAGTTCTGCTGGCCATTCTGTGCAGATTTACAGTGCCACTGCCCATCTATTTTGATGAGTTAAAGTTTGCATTGTGTTGCTGAGTGCCAGATATTCTTGTGTTTTCATTTCTACCTTTTACAACCATGTCGTCTTGTGTAATTAAAGTGTGCTTGACATGCTGTGTTGAACATATGTGGCATGGGAGCAACAATTTCAGTGTGCATGCATTGTTAATGTCATATATAGATAACATCAGGCACAGGTACCAAACCAATTTATTAAATGTCTGGCATCCAGCTCAGTTTAGCTTGGCTCCAGTGCTCACAGATGATGTTCAGTGCACTGATGTTGCATAGGTGGCTGGCTCAGTGGATGGAATGTTTGCAGATCAGAACTGAAAGGGTGTGTGAAACTCTTTCCCAACACTGCCTTGATGTGAATGACTTAAAAGTTACAGCAGTTTGCAGATGAAACTGAAGTATGCTCTTAATGACACAATGAGGCTTGTTCTCCAGGGCCTGGCTGAAAAGTGGGGTGTCAGGCCTGCATGGTATCACTGGACCTTCTGTTTATACATAGCTTCCAACCAGATCTGTGAGAAGTATGCACTTAAAATCTGCATTGCTCTGGAAATACAGGCGTATTGTATTTTCCAAGTACAGATGTGTTCAGATCAGCACATTTTATTGAAAACCTACCACTCACAACCTACAGGTATTTGCCCTAGTGAAGCCAGGCTGGGTTGGTGGCATTTCTTAACAGGAGCAGATGCAATGTCATCCTGGACTCCCTACCACTGGTATGTGTCATGATCATCTGGAGCATTATTATGGTCACCTGATTCTGGGCCAACTTTATGTTTTCCAGCATGACCTGTGTGGGTGTGGGTGTGGTTGCCACAGCTTCTGTGTGTTTGTTCCAGTCACACAGAAAGTTTGAGGCACCGCGACATGGCTCTATGGGGTTCTACCCCAAGAAGCGTGCACGCCGCCATCGCGGCCGCGTCAAGACCTTCCCCAAGAACGACGCCTCCAAGCCATGCCATCTGACGGCGTTCATCGGCTACAAGGCGGGCATGACGCACATTGTGCGTGAGGCCGACCGCCCTGGCTCTAGTGAGTCCACCGGCCGCGGTCCTGGTGGCTGCTGGTTGGGGCAGGATGGGTGGCTGCAGCCATAATAGCTGGTGTTTGGGGTGGGTGGGCAACTGCAGCCATAGTGGCTGCTGATGAGGGCAGGGTGGGCAATTGCAGCCCTGGCAGCTGCCAGTCCAGGCAGGGCTGGGAGCAGGATGCAAGGCAGGTCAGTGCAACTCAGGCTTGTTTTCAGCTGAATTCAGGGTGGCGTGGGGAGAGTTGTCCTGTTTGGTTTTAGGGCTGATGTCTTGGTTGCAGAGCTCAGGAGAAAGAAGTGGGAGTGAATTTAGTGAATATTTTAGGCTTCTAGATGTTGGCTACTCTACTGTGTGTTCAATCAAACATGTAAAATGCATATAAAATAGCAAGGAATAGAAGTAGTCAGTTTGGCAGGTCATCTTGCAAAGGTATTACAGGCTCAAATGATGTTTTGGGGATTTGTTTGCTGTGCTTAGATGCAGCAATGGGCCATTTTGCCAATGCTGGTGTTGGGGGGGGGGGGGGGGGGGGGGGGGAGGGGGAACAAGTCCTGTTGACATGTGTTTGCATGTAAAGGAAGTAAGGCTGGGTAAGTCAGCTGTTGGTTTGTGCTGCATTTCCCATATGGCTGGCAGATGGTTGAACAGCTTTTCATACCAGAGGAACAGGTGATTCAGAACTTGCAGCACTACCATGGAGATGATTCTGTGCACCTGTCATGGGCTCCCTGGTGTGTGGTGGGCTGCCCTGATGCGAGGAGAGGTGTCGACCCGGGTGGGGGGTCGGTTCGCGCGGCGTTCTACCCATTCCCGGTGGGATCGTCTCCTGTCCCTCCGAGATCAGAGAACGGCCAACAGAGAGCGCCGCACGATAGCTGCCGAGCGGCCGCCACAGTGGTCCCGGCGGCGAGCTTGCTGGCGACAGCGGTCTCGCGGCGGGCCTAGTGGACGCCCTGGGTGCGATTTTTTGGTGTTCTGCCTACCCCTCAACATTCTACTGAGGTTACTTACTTTGCGGCATGTGGTGTTGCGAAGTCCGTTCCATTGGCGGTCGCGCACCGTCTGTGTTGGGGGGAGCGGGAGGTAATTATCAGCTGGTAAGTGATGGACCTGTTGATTGGGAAGTCCTAGGGAAGTTATCAATGAGAAAGCTACTGGTGTTTCCCATCTGCCGGATCATTCTGATTGTTGTCGAAGATGAGTTCTGAATGCTGCCCCACTACCACTGAGGCCACATGCGCTGTTGCCTAACTGGCCTGGCATCCTGCAGAGCTGAACAAGAAGGAGGTGGTGGAGCCAGTGACCATCATAGAGACTCCTCCCATGGTGATCGTGGGCGTCGTGGGCTACGTGGAGACGCCCAAGGGCCTGCGCGCCTTCAAGACCATATTCGCGGAGCACCTGAGCGAGGAGTGCAAGCGTCGCTTCTACAAGAATTGGTGAGCGCCGCCCCGCCCACGCCGGGCCTGGTCAGAGTCGGGTGTGTACGAGGCAAGCCTGTAGCAGCCAGCACTCCAATGTCAAGCACTCTTCATTGCTGATAGTTTGGCTTCCTTAAACCTAGATGCTGTGGACTCAGGTATTAACATCATGACCTGCATTTATATGTTGTGGCTTTATGGTGCATGAACCGTGTGCATCACATACCTGTAGTTGTGCACATCATATGACCTTGATTCGGTTGTCTTTCATGTTGCACGCTTCATGCTATGTCTGTGATGCGGTGCGCGGCGGCCGCCGGTGGCCGGCGCCGCCGAACGGTGCACGTTGACGCTGACCCCAGCCCGGCCCGGTCCCTCAGTCTCCGCTCGCCGCTCGCGGCGATGAGGCGTCCTGCCCGTCCCCGCCTGCTCTGCCGCCTGCGGCACCAGGCCTGCCCCTCACCGCCCACTGCTCTGCAGGTGCTCCTCCAAGAAGAAGGCCTTCACCAAGGCCTCGAAGAAGTGGGCTGATGAGGCCGGTAAGAAGGAGATCAAGCGCGACTTCGAGAAGATGAAGCGCTACTGCTCGGTCATCCGCGTCATCGCTCACACGCAGGTACGGCCGGGCAGGCTCACTGGGCTTTCTGCGCAGGCGGCGGCCCAAGCTCCGGCGCTGGACTGCGGGGGCACTGCTCGCTGCTGCCATGATGATACCACTCTTGATCAAACGGTTAGAAAACATCGGACCCTCGTGACGATCCTAGGGCGGACTGAGACCGTGGCGGCGCGGCTGCCGACGAGTGCGCGTGTCCCGCTCTGACCTAGCTTACTGCCCGCAGATGAAGCTGCTCCGCCTCCGCCAGAAGAAGGCCCACATCATGGAGATTCAGGTGAGAGAGCCAGCGGCGGTGCAGGATCGGCGGTCCGTTGTTGATCTGGGTCGGCGGTCGGTCCCCGCGGCATTCTACCCATTCCCGGTGGGATCGTCTCCTGTCCCTCCGAGATCAGAGAACAGCCAACAGAGAGCGCCGCACGATAGCCGCCGAGCGGCCGCCTCAGTGGCCCCGGCGGCGAGCTTGCTGGCGACATCCCCGTCCTGTTGAGTACGCTGACCGGCGTCCGAGGGTGCCCTGTCGGCGGGCCGGTCGCTCGTATCGTGTCGCCTGACGCCGCTGGGCCTGGCGCGGTGAAGCCAGGTGAGCGGCGGCAGGGCCGAGTGGGGCCCCGCCGTCGGTGGTCTCGTGCTCACTGGCGCGCTGGCCGCCCTCCGGCGGTGCCTGTGTCGGGGGAGGGGCGCAGGGCTAGGCTTGGCCCTGGGCTAGCCTGACCTGCTTGTCACCAGTTCTGACTCACCCACCTCTTCCCCTCCCTCCCGCAGGTGAACGGCGGCACGGTGTCGCAGCAGGTGGACTGGGCGCGCGAGAAGCTGGAGTCGAACGTGCCCGTCGGCAACGTGTTCGCCCAGGACGAGATGGTCGACATCATTGGCGTCACCAAGGGACGCGGCTTCAAGGGTACGGTGTCGCCGTCCAACCGCTTTTTCCGCTAGGGATGATCGCCCGTGTGCTTATCACGCTGCATCACTGGTGCGGCGCAAGCGTTTCAAGACCAGATGTGGATGTTGCAATTACCAAGTTCTCCAAACGTGATGGATTCCCGATGGTTTCGGCTGAAAATGAGACTGTTGATTCGCCGACAATGCTGCCTTCCTTCTGACGCCGGCCTGCGTCTGCACGGTCGCCTGGGCCCCGCCTGTCCCACTGACGCTTCATATTCCGCCCGCCAGGTGTCACCAGCCGTTGGCACACTAAGAAGCTGCCGCGCAAGACGCACAAGGGTCTGCGCAAGGTGGCCTGTATTGGCGCGTGGCATCCGAGTCGCGTGCGCTTCACGGTGGCGCGCGCCGGCCAGAAGGGCTACCACCACCGCACGGAGATCAACAAGAAGATCTATCGCATGGGCGCTGGCATCCACACCAAGGACGGCGTGGTGAGTCACAGCTGCTGGCAGGCTCGGCGGGAGCGGGCGAGGCGGGGTCCCGGTAGGCGCGTTGGATCGTCCCTCGCTGCGCCCAAGTGTGCAACTCACTTCTCAGCGCCCAGCATCCCTGTGAATGATGAAACTTTGAGCTAACAATGACCCAGATGATTGTCAATGATAGGCCTGACGCTTGACGCGCGCCGATTGGGGTGTGGAGCGCGTGGGTCGGCGGTGACGCCCTGTCCGGCGCGCGCACAGGTGGTCAAGAACAACGCCAGCACCGACTACGATCTGACGGACAAGAGCATCACGCCGCTGGGAGGCTTCGTGCGCTACGGCGAGGTCAACAACGACTTCATTATGATCAAGGGCTGCTGCATCGGCCCCAAGAAGCGCGTGCTCACGCTGCGCAAGGTGAGGCACCTGAGTGGGGAGTGTGAGATGAGAGCAACTTGTGCTGCTGTTAAAAAGCTCTCTGCATCAAGTGCTGGTCTGTGTTGAGGTCTGCCATGTGCCCAGCAGCAATGCTGCTATTGGCACGGTCGAAAGCGAATCGTTACATGTCGAGACCAGATCGTGTTTCCATTGTCAGTGGCTAGTGCAGCATTCCAGGCAGTGTTCATTGCGCCGCATGGACCATCGCGCCCATTGATGGGCCAGTGAACGGTTACAAAATGACCAATCGTCGACGCGGTCTAAGCCTTAATGATAGCACTTGGTTAATGGAAGCTCAGCTGTTCATTTCCACATTTCCACCCCGCCCGTGTCGTGACGTTAAAGTAGCGCTCATGCAAAGCGTGTCGGTGCGGCGGTGTGCCGGCGGCGGCTCCCGTTGTTGGCTGCGTCCACTGACAGCGCCCCGTCTCCCCTGCCGCCAGTCGCTGCTGGTGCACACGAGCCGCGTGGCCACCGAGAAGATCGAGCTGAAGTGGATCGACACGTCGTCCAAGTTCGGCCACGGCCGCTTCCAGACGGCCGCCGAGAAGGCCGCCTTCCTCGGCCCGCTCAAGAAGGACATCCTCAAGCGGAAGGAGGCGCAGGCTGGCAAGGCCTAGCATGGCACGCTGGTGAGGATTACGCTCTGCATGGGAGAAGGGGGTGGGGTGGGCAACAGTGATGTCAGTTACGGAGGTGGTGGGGGGCGGGGAGGGAGATGGGTGTCGGAAGCCGCATTCGTTCCTTCAAAGCACTTTGTTGGCGTTCAGAGTGTCCTTTCAGTCTGCGTGGTTATTTATTATATGTGGATATATCTGACCATTCCTTTACTGGGGGAGTGGTAAGTAACATTGCTTATTCCATGCAGGTGTAACACCCACTGATACTTGTGAGTAGCATTTTTGCTTCTCAGTGCAGGACCTGTGATACACGTGTTGTAAGAGCGGCGAAACGGGCCGGTCGGCTGGCCCCCGCCATTTCTCCGGGAGCGTGACCCTGACGCGCGCTCTGTCGGCAGGTGGCGCCCGCCAGCGGACTGTGACCGGACGACGGTGGTCTTCGCTATCGGCCTCATATGACTGCTGTGGCAATACACGTGCGGAACACACCGCGGCGTGTTGGGGGAGGACAATGGACGGAGGGGCGGGGAGCGACCAGAAGGCCGTCAGCTGTTCACAACACGAGAGCGACGCTTCGTGGGAAGTGAGCAGCGTAGCGGCGCAACGGCAGGCAGTCGAGAGATGACGCTGGCGGGACGCTGGACGGCGCTGTCCGAAAATCAGGGACCAGGTCCACCGGATAGGACACGGCGGGGGTCGGAAGGCGTGGGCGCAGCACGCTCCTGGCGTGACTGCCAGGCGCTGAGCAACGGCAGGGCTGTGGTAAACACGGGCACGGACAAACTGAATGCTGGATGACATCATTGGCACCAGCGGGGTAAATGTACTAGCAGGGATGAGGCATCTGTGGACGCTATGTGACCGTGAGGTCGAAGCGCCCGAAAGCCCCAGTTACGACAGCTCTGGGCGTGGTAGACGGGGATGCTGGGCCTGAAAGGAACTATGACTTCGGCAGTCGATGCTGGTTGCCACGTTAGCGCTAGTCTTCGGCCGATGCCGCTGTCTGGTGTTATGGCCACCCCATTAGCTATCCCGACTTGGGACGGAGCCTCGGCCGAACGTCGGGATCCGGTGTCCGCAATCCCCTGCTAAGGTGTGGTTCGAAACCAGGCAGTGTATTGGTTGTCATTCCAAGGGACCGAGGGTGATAACGTAACCCATCTCGCGCCCTGAAGGAACAAGGGGAACGCGGGCGCCGCAGTGAGCTGGCTGTCGTCACGCAACGGAAATGCGAGGTGGAGAGAAATTGAAGCGCGGGGGCTGCTAGTACGCGGTGGAGGACTGACTGACAGCCAGCGAGCATCCCGCGAGGAGCCTGAGTGGCGAGGGTGCCATGAGGAAGCGGAGATGCCGGGGCACGGTCCGGGGTCGCCTGCCACAAGATCCGCCTCGCACACCGGGATGACTGAAGGAGAGTATTCAGCAGGTGGGAGCGTCAGAGGCGTGGCGACAGGCGGGTCCCTGTCCGGGGCGTGACGACAGGCGGGTCCCTGTCCGGTGCGTGGCGGCAGGCGGGGCTTCGTCCGAGGCGTAGCGACAGGCGGGTCCCTCTCCGAGGCGTGGCGGCAGGCGGGGCTTCGTCCGAGGCGTAGAACAGTGCTGAAACGAGCGCGCATGCGCACGTCACTGAATTACTGCGCAATGATTTATGGGTAGCTGGATGCGTGTATGTGGGATGCTCAGCTTGACACACTCCAATGGATGCTGCTTGTGGAGGAATTGCACGCAGGGGAGGAGCGTCATAATTTCTGTATTTTTGGCGCACAATGTGGGGAGGGGGCTGCCACATTTCCCGTGCATCCCATAAAACATGCACGGCGATACTTAAATGTCTGTAGAATAATCCAGTGGGGACGCCAGGAGGGGGGGGGGGGGCAGGGTCCCTCGGAAGCAGCGATGGATGCCCCGATTTGGGGGGAGGGGGGGGGGGCAAAGCACTGGCTAAGGTCAGAGTGCCCTGTGCTAGCAATGGCTCACAGCCGACCAAAGGAGGTGTTTATGAGGCCTGAAGAGGGGCCCGGGCGGCCCAGCGGAGCCGACGATAAATGGCTCGGATGAAGGGCATAAGGGCCCGAAGGATTGGCTGTAAGTCACATAAAGAATTGCGGGTCATATGGTGGTGAACTAAAATCTTGGAAGTCCTCTGCACCGTTTGAGGGTGCCAGGAGACAATGCTGCCCCGGTCGGCTGGAGACCACGACCACCGAGCAGTTGACTCCCTCGGTTCACTCCCTGTCAGTCTGAACCTTGGAGGCCCATTTACCAAGCTGGAGCAAGGCCGGGGAGCCACGACTTGCACTGGATTGGGTCCCGGAAACAATGGTTGCGGCTCGTCTGTCGGTTATGGGCCCACAGTGTCTACGAGGGGTCATGTGTCGGCTAGTGTCACCGAGTCGGTCACGGGATTTGAGCAGGTTGAAAGACGTACCGAGGAGCGCCTCGGTACCAAAGATCAAGGGCCCGATCGGAAAGCTGAAAGGCCCAAAAAGCTGGCTGTAGGTCACATTGACCCCCGCCCGTAGGGCCTTGCTCTTAAATGTCAGAGGGTCTCTTATACTGATCGGAGACCCCTGATACAGAGCGTTCCTATATTTCGGCCGGAGATCAATAACACGCAACAGTCGGCTTCGTGTCGGTCTGAGCTCTTGCAGTCCTATTTTCCAAGCAGGGTCAATGCGGGGTCCGCGCTTTGCAATGGTCGTGCCCCTGCAACAACACGGAGCTCCTGTACCAGTCAAGGACCCAGTGCCTGGCAGGGCGTTGTGCGTCAACAAGGGGCCTTGAGTCCATTAGGGGATCATTTGCTCAACGTGGACAGAAATGGGACCACGAATGGCAGAGGACTTGTTGCGTTCGTTGGGCCCTCTGACAATGAAAGGAAGCATTTTAACTAATGATGAGTGTTCACATTGAGGCAGTGGAGGGGTCCTGTGCTAGTCAGGGCCCCCGTTACCTAGCGGCGGGCCCTTCAACCCAATTCCAGCATGGGTCCGCTCAGCCGAGCTGTAGTCTGAGCGCAAATGATTAAGCTACCTGTAGTGATCGGGGATGTTGATGCATTAATGAGGATTCCTGCGCCGATCCGGGGCCAACGGCGAGGGTCAGAAGACCTCCCTCGTCAGAAAGGGACAAATATGATGTGACGTACCCGTCTAGGGGCTTCCGGACAGGCCAGGGGGTCCCGTCCTGTGTCTCCAGAATCGCGGCCGGAAGACACCCGCAGTTAAACGGAATGGTCCCTCAAGGTCTTGACCGGGAACAGTATTGTAGCCCCTAGTGTTCTGCTCAAGATGCGCCCTTGCCCGAAAAGAAATCAGGGCTCTCAATAGCGTTGGATAGAGTGGGTCGACGTTGTTGACGACAACCCGGCGGCGTTGGCCTCTGAAAGTAGCACCACGCGCCACCCGCGAGAACGACTGTCGTGAAATAATCGTTCCGAATGTTCTTTCAGAGCTAAATTGTAACGTTTAAAAGTAAAATTGGACGCATTCTCTTTTGCAGCGATGAGGATGTCCTCTGCACACATGGACAGGTACAGAAACACGAAACATAGAGATTCTACATTTACCCTTCCAGTTCCACCACCAGCTTCCAGCCAGCACCACTTCGCGGTGCTGCAAATGCCAATCCGTTCCTAACATCATTCTAAAAATTTCACCGGTGAAATATAGGTCCGGACTGCCTCCTAGATGTACGATTTGACGCCCTAAAGCGTTGCAAGGTACGTCTTTTGGATTCGTACTTAATTTCACTTACCCGTCGGCCGCAGCTTAGTGTTAGCCACAAGGCGGTCGCCGCGTAGCCTAAGGGGACTGCAACGCCTATCGTCGGGTTTTTTTTTGCCAAGATTTGCGAGCGCGCGTGTTCAGAACTACGTGCATAATTTGTGTCGCGAATCGATTCTTGCTGAATTTTGAACAGTTCCAGACAAACATGGCTTGGTACAGTTAATACAAATTGTTGCCTATTTCAACACACAATCTGCATTCGCGGAGTCCCTATATCCCTATAGAGCCTAGCAAAAAAATCTGACGAATCTTCTACGAGTTCCATCGGCTTCGAAAGAGTCCAACGGACCATTTTAAAGTGGGAGGCACCGACGGTTTGCTTTAAGTGATTGTTAAACTCATAATTTCTCCAGCTAATTGACTCTAAAGTTCATTAGGAATTTTTTCTCCCCGTGGCCGCTGGCTTCTATTCCAGTTATAGAATGAAAAATGAAAAATACCGTTGGAAAGCACGTCCTCCTTAACAAGTGAGATATATCCGGCAGTATTTTTGGGGAAGGGGACTTTTCACGATCAGGGTCACCTTTGTCAACCCTGTGCTCCCCTCTCGTCAAGGCTCTGGCCGCACGCCTGCAAGCAGGGGGTCCTGTGTTGGCAAGGGACCCGAGTCGGCCAGGGCCAGTGTTCGAGGAGGCCTGGAGGGGGTCCAAAGGGCCTCTTAGCACCGACGATCATGTGTTCGACTGGAAGAGTGGAGGACCCGAAGGTCTGGCTGAAAGTCACGTCAAGAATTCCAGCCCGTAGGGCTGTAGCATGAAATGTCAGTCTGAGGGCATCTTGCAACGATTGAGAACCCCTGGCGCAACACAGGCCTCTATTCCGACCGGAGACTGCCAACAACGAACAGTTGGCTGCGTGTACGTCTGAGGCTTGGGACCCGTCTCCCAAGCGGGCACGGGGTCGGAACTTGCAATGCGCATTGGTCGGGGTCCCCGAAACTAGCAGGAACTCCTGTGTCGGTCAGGGGCTCGCGGTGCCTAACAGGGGACCCTGTGTCGACCACATGCCCCGGTCGGCGAGGGGCCGTGTCCGATAGAACCCAAAATGGGTCCATAGAGAGTCCTGAAAGGCCCTCGGGACAAAACTTCCATAGCCCTGAAGCAACGAGGGGTCCCTGTCCTGATTAGAACCCACAGAGCACAACAGAGGGTCCCGTGTCGGCAATGGGAGCCGATACCACCAGGCGAACATATGCTGAACAGGGATAGGGCAGAACACCGACTGCAAGAGGGCCTCTTGCGTTGGTCGGGCCCCTGGCAATGAAATGAGATATGAGAGCTTATGGTGGGTGTCCACAACGAGACAATAAGAGGACCCTTTGTCAGTCAGAGCCCCCAGTACCAAACAGGGTCCTGGTGACCCTCTACTCCACTTCAGTAAACCCGAGTTGGATTACCCTGTGCCAATGATTGGGCCACAGCGATGGTAATGGATCTTGTTGCGTCAGTGAGGGCTCCTGTGTCGTTCTCTGCCAACTGCACGTGTCAAAGGTACTCCTACGTCATAGAGGGGACCAATGCATGATGTATCTCACTAAGGGCCCCCGAATCGACCAGGAAACCCCGCCACCGTGTCACCAGAATGACAGTTCAAAGGCACCCGCGCTAGGACGGAATGGTCTTCAGCACTTGACCGGAAACGATTATGTGCCCATTGGTGTTCTTCCCACAGGGCCACTTGCCCGAAGAAGGTAAGGTTTG